CTGGCCCTCTCCACATTTGATCTTGACCAGTCGGCTGCCTGCTGCTTCGGGTGCCTGGTGCTCGCTCGCTCGCTCGCCTTTTTTGTTGGCCCATTGTACACTACATTTTGGCATGCACACGCTGCCACCATAGCTCAACTCGCGCTTCCTTCACCTCTTTTGTCGCCTCTCCATCCTGGCTCTGCCGGCCGCTTCATCTCATCTCATGCAAAACACCTTCTTGCCGCCCCAAACCGCCGCATCTTGATTTGGCTCACGCCTTGACGCCATGGTGTGGCTTGGCAGGTTTGCAGCAGGCTGCCGCCGCTCCTTTTCTTCTTTGACCTTGGTATTCCCGGTATCGTTGCAATGGCCGTCGAACCGATCAAGATCGCTGTCATTGGTGATGGCGGTGTCGGCAAGAGTGCTTGCACCATCCGCTTCGTCAAAAACCAGTTTCACGAGGTGTGTAGCAATTTCTGCTCCCACCCTCACTTGCAGACAATGAAAACTCCCTTGCCGTCGCCCTCTCGGCCGTTGCCTCACCACAACATTGCGACATTCCGCCTTTTGTGTTGCGTATCGATTTTTCGACAGCAATACGACCCTACAATAGGTGCGCGCCCACTCCCGTGCCTCCGTCTCGCCTCCCAACCTGCCTGCTCTCCGTCGACACGTCCTTACTCAAAAGCTCCTGCCGTGTGATATTTTCGCTTCTTCTCCGCATTGTCTGTAGAACAAACCTACTCGACAACGGTGGAAACAGAAGAATTTGGCTCCTTGCCAGTGGAAATTATCGACACAGCCGGCCAAGATGACTATGAAAACTTCCGATCCGTGAGCATCAGCTACGGCCAGGTTAGGAGACTCTCCATCTCAACAAACTTGCCTGTCCCTATTGTGCTCGACGCTGTTCATCTTGACTTCACCACTTGCACCCCGTGTCCCTCCGCCCAGGCCTTCCTGCTCGTGTTTGCCATCACCTCCCACAAAACCTTTGAGAAGATGGAGAGTATGCTAGTTGAGGCCAAGGAGGATGCACCAAAAATTGTGATTGGTAACAAATCGGTACGTCCCTAGCCTCTCGTTCCTTCTTTCTTTCCCTTGTATTCGTTCCCTCTCGCTCGAGCATCTTGCCTGCATTTGAAATTTTTAATTTGTTCTTCCAACTTTGGGGCCAACCCAAACTGACACCTTTACCACTCTCGCAATAGGATTTGAGTGCAGACCGAAAGGTATCTGTGGCAGAGGTCGAGGCGTGGTGCAAGGAACGTGGCTTCAAGTACTTTGAAACTTCTGCCAAGAACAATATCAACGTTCGTGAGGCTTTTGTCGACCTCGTCCAACAAGCCGCCAAGAAGCGACAGCACACTCGCACCGGTGCCAAGGGTACTGGTGCCAATGGAGGCGGCTGCTGCCTTCTCATGTAAACGTCATTCGTTGTCTCGGACCTGATGTACCGTCTACAAACCATGCCAGCCCCCGGGCTTCAATCTTGCCGTGTGATTCTTGTCGACTGCAGTTGTTTTTTCCCCACCACATTGCCACCCGCATCGCTTCTACCAGTGGCTTTGCTCGTGCAACCCCTGAGCGCACCCCGTGCACCCTGCCTTTTCTCTTTCTTCAACCTTGGCATGACAGAGGCCTGCGCCCACTGCCGCCACAAGAACACTTTTCATGCTCTTCTCTTGCATCGGGCTTCAACCCGGTGTAGGTGGGCCACCCGCCTCTTCCTTTAATCCTCGGAAAGTCTTGGCGTGTGTGCCTTGCTCCGGCATTTCCTGGTGATCATCCGCCCCTAGCTTTGAGCTGTTGATTTTCTTTTCTTGCCCCCTCCATGTTTGTTCGTCTCATCTCTTCGGCAGAGCCCAGAGAAGCTTATTATCTTGACAACGTCATCATGTACTTGTCACGCCTTGGCAGTCTTAGTTGGAATTGACAGGCGAATCTGAACGCCCCAAACTGAATACTATCCACATTATCACGTTGAAAGCACAAGAGAATGGTAAGGAATGGCAAGAATCGCACACACACACACACACACACACACAATACAGGTATCCAGGCCACCACTGCCCTCTCGATTCAGCTGCCCTCTCGATTCAGCTGCCCTCTCGATTCAGCTGCCCTCTCAATTCAGCTGCCCTCTCGATTCAGCTGCCCTCTCGATTCAGCTGCCCTCTCAATTCAGCTGCCCTCTCGATTCAGCTGCCCTCTCAATTCAGCTGCCTAAAAGATGGGTTCTTTCAAACACTTGGTGACAGCCGAGGCAATCTCTTCGTTGCAGGCTAGCAGATAGTGCCGAGAGCACAAGTCAAGGGCCCCCCCTCGCATGTCTCGGGCAATGCCCCCCGCCTCCAAGACCACAATGGCACCAGCGCACACATCCCAAGGATGTGGTCCGTACTCGAAAAAGCAATTCACACGGCCACACGCCACGCTTGTGATTTGGTTGCAAGCACTTCCGTTCATGCGCAGGCCGCGAAGATTCTCCTTCATGAGGTTACGGATGGAGCCTATTGGCAACATGGAAATGGTGAGCGTGGAAAATGGCGTGACCTAGGCATGAGTTATTGAGACCTGGATCTCCCGGTCCTTGCATGCTCGCTTATGGTAGCCACAGGCTCAATAGATGGGTGCCATCAAGCACGGAAACGTGACGCACCAGTAATGTGGTCAATCGCCAGGTCGTTGCGACGGTAGCCAATGTTGGTGGACACAATGGCTTGGGACAGCTGTGAGGGTTCCGTGTCCACATGAATGGGCTTGTCATTTAGAAAGGCCCCGCCGTTTTTCCAGGCCTTGTAGCATTCTTTGCGAATGGGGTCAAAGACAACGCCCAGGACAGGCTGCTTCTCAAAGCTCAGGCCAATGGAGACGGACACCTGGGGAAGACATGGAGCGGGCAGTACAGCGCAGCATAATCGACGACTTGGTTGAGCAAACGCACACCAAAGGTACAGTAGCAGCGCCAAACAGAAGACGCACATCGGGATGACGATGAATGGCATTGGTGGTGCCGTCCACAGGATCCACGATAAAGGTGGGTGCATCCGTCAGGGTGTATGATCCTGTGGCGCATCCAAGTGCAAGGCATTTGAGGTTGAGTTGGGCGAGTCTATGCCAGTCACAGGGCTGCTTATTTGCACCAAGTCCTCGCACCTTCCTCAGAGGAGGTTTCCTCGCCAATAAACTCAAAGGTAGGAAAATCGGCTTTGAGGCGGCCAAAGATGAGTCGCTCACAGGCCTTATCCGTGTCAGTGACCATGTCGATGCTGGCCACAGACTTGTCTGTCACCTCGGCGGCATTCTTTGGCTTTTGAAACATGGCCTCGAGCAACTTGGCAGCCTACCCAGAACACACAAGTCAGCGTCCCATGAAGCGTACACGCATCCATCCGCAGCCCAGATGCAACTCGACACTCATGCCCATCCTCCAATTTCCAGCTCTCCCAGAGCCTCGTGGCCTCACCTCACGGGCCACCTCCTCGACCACGACGGCAATCTTGGGCAGATTTTCCGCTGAGTACTCCATGCTCTTGGTCCTGCGTCTAACACCACGCCAAACATCACCAGCCCCCCGCCTACTGTGAGCCAGACGGCGACCAAATGCACGCGGCTTCTCAGACCTGCACGGCGCATACTCCACTGACCCGAGATGTCTGTGTGTCTGAACGAGTTCTTAAAAGAAGAAGAAAAAGAAAGAAAAACAAGAACGTGTGAATAAAAAAAAAAAATATTTTTTCAAGAGTTTTATGCGAAAGAAAGAAAAACAAGGACGTGTGAATAAAAAAAAAAAATATTTTTTCAAGAGTTTTATGCGAATATCTCGGAATTTCACTTCATTTTATGGTTTCTTCCTTCTGCACATTTGGGCCACACATTCGTTCCCGTTCCCGGTCAGTCGTTCATTTGTTGGGGATGGTATGCTTGTTTTGTCGGGAGATGGGGCTGAAGCCCAACCAGGCAGGCCATACTGAAATCGATTGTGATACGGTCGCTACAGGCAGGTAGCCCGAACGGCAGGTGAATACCTATTCCCTAGTCACGAAAAGCAAAGACCAATAGGGCAACGAGCGGAACCACCAGGAGACTCAAGAGCCAAATCAGGTGGTCCTTCGACACTGGTTGCGCGGTGGCCGCCTTGGCGCCAGAGGCAGGGGCTGCGGCGGCACGAGTGGCCGTGGTAGGGGATGAACGCGGTAGTAAGACTGCTTGGGCTCGTCCACTGGGCAAGGTTTCGCCGTGGAGCTCGCGTTGCATCTGCACATCCTTGGCGATGGCTGCTGGCGCTGGCGCTGGCGCATGGGCACGGCATGAGCTTGCGGCGTCGGCAACAACTGCTAAGAGCTGGGTAGCCGACAAGCCCAGCAACTCCATCGTCTCTGCTTGCAGCTGCTCATTGAGTCCCTGCGGACGCACCAGGCGCCACGACGATCAACACAGAAGCCGTTAGGGGGTTCCACTTGTCGAGGGGACGCAGGCGGAAGCAGCGGCACACGACACACTTTATGCTCTTCGTAGCAATCGTATCGTGTCCAGCACGGAAAGCGCTGTCCTCCGTCAAATCGCTGGCGTCGAGGGGCCGGGAGCGCCACGGGGGCTGAGGTCTTGTGCGTTTCGTCTGCCAAAAGCATGCGTGGAAGGTGAGTACAAGAGAGACATGGCGTCGAGCTTTTCGAGTCATCAAGGGCAAACGTACGATGATGAGTGTGTGTTGCCACGACGCGATCCAAAAACACCACCACGGCGCGCATCGCATCGTGCCGCACGGCAGCCGCGAGTTCAGTCGCTGTTGCCATCGTAGGCACACATGCCCACAATGGTACACGGCCAGAGACGACCAGCGTGGCATTGTTGCCCGCAGCCTTTGGGGTGGCACATTGAGCTTGTTGCAAGGAATTGATACTGAAGCAGACCTGTAGGGAACCAGCCGGTACAATTCAAGCCTCGAGGTGAGCGCATCAAATGTGCCTCAATCCCACGGCAAGACGTTCATGCAACTAGCGAGGGCCAACTTACATCGTGGCTAGGTAGCTGAACGGGGGTTTCGCCGGTCAGCACCACAGGTTGACCATGGACCTCCACGGATACAACAGCATCCGCGTACTCCTAGCAATGGCAGCCACCCGACAGGGGTTTGAAATCACGGTGAAAGTCGATCCTTTCAAGCTGTGAGGCGAGCAAATTCGGGCAATGCCGAAGGAAAGTACCCACCGCTTCGGCACACCCCTGCATCTGATGAATTGTCGTCTTGAGATCACGAAGCGTGTTGGCTTGAGCGGGCAATGCAAGCTTTCGTGGTGGTCATCAAGCACATCAAAGGCATGGCGCGCAATGAGAAAAGTGGAGCAGCTGACACAAGCGGCATCCAAAGGGTGCAAATCTGGTAGGTGTACGAGTGAAGGAGCAAGAGCAGGCGCGTGTGTACCCACCTGCACATGCAAGTTTGATCGTAGAACCATGCGCTTCTCGTCGAGCGATGCGCGCTGCAGCGTTAGGCTGCGGCTTGATTCCTACCAAAGTCGGATCACGTGTTGAGTTTAAACACCAATGCATGTGCGGCATTTAGGACCCTGGAACCCCGGGTCAAGCCCGGCATGTAGTTTGGCGCAGCTTACATACCTTGGTGCGCACGTTGAGCAGCTTGGCCGTCAAGGTTGGGTTTCCAGTCTCCACCTCAGCGGTCAGAAAAAAGCCGCCGTAGGCCTGGCGATGCTCAAAGGTCTCACAGGCGCCTGGTGGTCAGGTAGCACGACGGCACCATGGCACATGTTGAGGTTGGCCATGAGATCAAAATCAGGCTCTCTAAACTCGCAGCGGGCGGTTGGAGACAATCGGGTAACCTACGTGCAGTCAGGTGTACCGCTGTCTGTAGCTTGGCCGCGAGATTGACGGCCTTGGGTGCCATTCCCAAGGCTCCCACAATGCGGCAGCCACCGGGTAGCAGCTCATAGACTGCACAAACATGAGCCAAAAAATGTTAGCAAACCCAGGGCCACGTCGTAGGGACGCACACGAGAGGCAGAGCCGTCGAATCGAGAGGGAAGGTCACGTACTGCGCTCGGCAATCTGTGAGACCCATTCATCATCCAGGCGCGCCAGCAAGGCCTGGACGGCCTTGGGGTCACTCACAGCCAATGCTTCGCTCGCAGCGGCAGCACGGTCCTCTGGGCCACCTTCCTGATCCTCGTCCTCGGCGTCCTCCAACGGGCAGCGCACGTAATCGTAGACATGAACGCCGGTTGTGCCCACATGGCCAATCAAGAATCCAAACTACCATCGGTCCAGAATGGCACCTGTAAGCACCCTCACCCTTCCACCCCACGCACTTGACCCCTCCCCTCATCCTGATCAACCCAACAATCGTACCTGCCACCCATACGTTCCCGACCAAGCATCAATCTCCGCCGCCAGGGCCTCATCGATCCAGCCTTCAGATGGCGGCGACACCGCCATCGTCGTCGTCGTCGTCGTCGTCGTCGTGCTCATCTCGATTTGTCTGACAAAACAATGTCAGACAGATGGAAGACTCGATTTGTCTGACATCATTTTGTCAGCAGATAAAAGAGAGAGAGAGAGAGAGAGAGAGAGAGAGAGAGAGAGAGAGAGAGAGAGAGAGATCGGTTCAGCGCCTTGATGACGGAGACGTCCTGACAACGGCCGATGGTTGGTAGCTGGATCTGATCAGCATGTCGCGCTTCCGAGGCTGGCTTTGGCCTGGCTCGGTGGGGCTAACTGGCCTGATCATTGGCTGTTTGATCGGCTGCTTTTTATCCGGGTTCACCGGCTTGCGGCACACGAGCAGGCCAGTCCAGCCTGAACTGGCCCGGCCATCAGCCTGCCCACCAGCTCACAACACCTCCCGGGCCAGCGGTACAAATCAGACCAGCGTCATGGAGACTAGCACTTTTCAAGATCTGTTTGGCGTATTTATTCTTGTTTCCACCAAGCAGCAGCATTATCGAGCCCTCATCGAGAGCCTTGTGCGCAGCGATCTCCCCCGCCAAACGGCCATCTTCATCTCACACGACGTTCCCCACGAAGCTGGGATGTTGGGTCTTTCCCGAGAGCTCCGCCTAACGTTTCCCCGTACGCAGATGGTGACACACGCCTACTCCTGTCACGACAGCGCCAGCGCCAATCTCTTGCGCAACAAAGAAGGCCAGTTCCCAGCAAATTGGAAGTTGGCTTGTCTCAAGAATCATTGGCTCTGGGCCATGGGTCGCGTTTGGGCCACTTTTCCACGCCTTCAGTGGCTGCTTTATCTTGAGGAAGATTTCATCGTACGTGTGATTGCCCCATATCATCTCGTCAGCGGCCTTTGATCCTGCTCATGCGTTGATGTTGTTCGATTTCCTCTTGTGTCCTCTATTTCTCACCATGGCTCCGCCCTTCGTGTCATCACACATCTTTACATTACAACTTGACTATCGGCACACATTTGCCCCTGCTTTAATAGGTGGCCAAGCATGTTTTTCGTCTTCAGCGACAGCTGGCCAAGGAAGCGCTTGGTGCTGGCTTCTTCGGCACCATGCTGCAATACCGGGAAAACCTATGGACCGTTAGTGGAGCCATGAAGCGATCCACGTGGGAAACCGTGCTGCGTTACAAGGACTTTTATTGCAACTTTAATGAACTGCACTGGGACTTGACGCTGAAGCAAACATTTTTGCATCACCCAGAAACCAACGGTATACGCTACGTCTACGCCAAGCCAGACATGGCCTTCCACCTGGGTATTCACGGAAAGGGGTTTACACACGGGTCAGACATTGCCGATCTCGCGGAACTTCAGCGTCGATTAGATAAGAGCGCCCACGACTTTTATGCCGCCACAGATAACGTGTTCATGCTCCAGTCGGGTGTTGCTCATCTGCACACTCCCAACGAGGGCTTGGGGGGATTTGATCCTCATTTCCGCGAGCATTGTCTGCACTTGTTGAGTTGGTATGAGGCTCAGGACACAAGCTCTTGGGCCCTCCAAGCCGAATGAGTGACTTGTTGCCGTGCAATCATGATAGTATTTTTCTGCGCGTGTTCGTTGTGGAAAAAAAAAAAAAGAAAGAATTGGAGAAGAGAAACTCCTCATTTTGTGTAAGCTTGAGGACGGTCGGCATGCCGACTAGCTGCGGACCGCTACGCTCTGAGTCCGAATGCATCACGTTGTGGCTTCTGGCACACACTCGCGAGTTGGTAAAGGTTCTCCATTGGTTTGGATGCCAGTTGCGTGACAGGTTCAGACAGACCACACACTGCCAATAAGCACACACCAAGCGTCTCAAGTCACAGGAAATTCAAACTCAAGGAAAGAATGACGGAAGAGCGAAGCACGAAGCAGGAGCAGCGCGAGTTGAGCACCGATGGAGAGCAGTATGAGAATTGCGTCGAATCACGATCCACTCTGCTTACATTTAAAAAGGTAGCTTTCTGAGAACAACACTACTTGGACGAAGGAAAAGGGCACAAGTTCATGGAAGGCGTTCAGTAGAGGACCTTCTTGCCGTGGATGTTTTTGCTGGCGGATTCTTCTAGTTGGAGCTGGCCACGGAAGCTCGAGAGATTGTCGCGCAAGTGTTGAAGCTTCTCAATCTTGCTGGCAAGGATGGCGTCGAGACGCTTCACGTAGTCTTCCACGTTACCATCGACGCCCTCGATCTCGTCCAAAAGTTTCTCTTCCTCAGCCAGCATCTCCCGATTGAACTGGATGGCACCCCGGTGCTCTTCGACCATGGCCTCCTCAGCCTCCACAAGGTCTGCCATGGCCTGTGTAACACGTTCAAAAGACAAAGCCACTTTTATGAGTCTTCAAAGCCAACAAGCAGGCAAAAAAAAAAAAAAAAAAAAAGGGTCGGGGGGGGGGGGGGGGGGGAGACCGCACCTCCTGATAGCCAAACAACTCGTCGGCTTCCTTGCCAGCCTCACCGCGAATTCTGCACCATGCATACGCTAGGTGAGTGGTAGGCCACACAAGCTCAACGTTGGGACTATCAACAGGCTTGAGCGATAGATAACCGATCAAAGTCCAAGCAAAGTCGTGGGCTTACGTTTGATGCAACATTTGCAGATCACGGCGCACCAACGATGATTCGAGGGCGGGATCCTGGGGATGGTATGATGTTCACACGGCAGACTTGATGAGCTTGATCCTGGGTTGGTTTGATAGTGTCAAAAGCAGAGTACTTACCCGCATGTCACCAATCTGATCATCGTCATCCTCATCTTCCACAGGCTCTGGGGCAGCGGCTACAGGGGGTAATGGCTGAAGACGAATTCAAAATTGAAAAAAATCAAAAAAAAATAAGAATAAAATAAATAAAATAAAAGAGCAAGCCATACACATGTGAGTGAGGAGGGGCGGTGCAAAATTGCTTTGGAGGGAAGACAAACAAACAAACAAACAAACGAGCAAAAGTCTCGTTTGCAGCAGCAGTTCAAGTGTCTGTAACATACGTTGACGTTGCGACGCTTGCCGGGCGCCAGTTCCTTGACACGGTCGGCGTAGCGAAGCGTGTTGAGACTGTGTTCGCATGAATGGCGACCAGGGGAAATCATGGCAATCATGCAGGTCCGTGCACGAGGACTGATGAAGCTGTCTCGCAAGACTTGCGTCAGCTTGGAGGCGCGAAACGGTGTGTGGCTGCCCTTGCGACCCAAGGCGCGAATACATTCCTTCAAAGCGAGCAAGCTCTTGTTGATCTCAGCACCCTCCATACTGCCAGTCAATTCAAAAAAGGAGGGTTAGGAAAGCAGCTTTTGAGGCTGCCATGGCACGCGGGCCTTGCAAAACACACCGGGTTTGTCGATCGGAATTGGCCGTATCGGCACCGCGTTCGTTGCCAGCAAGATCAATGAGTGAGAACTTGCCATGCAGCTTGCGCCGCGCGTCATTCTCGCGCAAGATAATCTGCAAAGACAGATGCCCAATCATCGCTATGAGTCAAGTCCAATGCTCGGTAAGTTGAGCCGGTACGGAGTGATCAAGGCAAGGTTGAGGACCTGAAAAACAGCGTGGGAGCGCGAAGATGCGGCGTTGGCCGATGTGCTGCCTGTGGCTCGGCAACGGCTTCCCTGGTCCAAGAGCTGCTCCACGTCGGAGACGTTGAAAACCTCCTGTGACGATGAATACAACCCAGAGGGGATCGGCACGATGTCAGTCTATTGGTTGGGTCTGGCACACGGGCCAAGTTGATTGTGGGCATGTTGGTTGTAACGCACCCGTTCGCTGAGGCCAACCACTTGCACTTTGTTCTTGCCATCCTCAAGCACTCGAAGCCGCTTTTGCTTGTTCAAGAGATCAAAGACCTAGTTGAAGGAGAGGTCGGAGGTAGAGAGGGGAGGGGGGTCACCATCAAACCACAAAAGGCAAAGAGTTGGAAAATCATGCAAGTTGAACAAATTTACCTTGCCGCCGTAGATTTCAAAAAAGCTGACGTTGACGGAGAGGTTGGCTTGCTTGTAGTGGTTCTGGTTGAGGCGGAAGACATCACGCGCGGCCAAGTAATAGATGCCCTTCATAGCGCCTTCACCTCCCATCTGCAAGGAACAAGGGCGATCAAGGATGAGGCATGCCGCAGTCGGCTCTGCCATGTACAAAGGCAGCAAGAAGATCGGGAGAAAATTTTTCGCAGCTGTGCAGAACTGAGAAGAAAGAAGAAGAAGAAGAAGAAAAAAACCTCGATCATGATGTTCAACAAAGGAAAACTCAACCAAAAACGCACTGTAAAGGTTTTGCCGGAGCCGGTTTGTCCATAGGCAAAGCAGGTGGCCATGCCCTTGTCGAAGATGGTTTGTACGAGCGGGGCGGCCGTAAACTTGTAGACGGCGGCATTATCGCAGTCATGCCCAAACGAATAGTCGAAGCGAAACTCGTGGTTCTCAATATACTTGGTGAGGTCGACCTTTTCCTTGGCCTCGTGCACGACGGTCAGTTCACCATCGGGCATGGTCACGCAGTCAATCTCGCCGCGCTCCCCCTCACGGCGCGACATGGGTCGCTTGCGTACGCAGACGGTAATTTTATCAGTGTATACCTAGTGGAGAGGGTAGGTGGAGGAGGAGGAGGAGGAGGAGGAGGCCGGAATACAAGTTGGTCTGTGAGAGGCGAACAGTCACCAGGGTTCAGTGTAGGAGGAGAGCGGCTGGTCGTGGCCAGCGCTTAAAACAGACGCGGATCAAACCTCCTGGTTGACGGGGAACGGGCGGATCTCCATGGCCGAGCGGCAATCGTCAATCATGATGGCAATTTTTTTATCCTGCTTCTCAAATC